TGTATTAGTAATTTTTGATTTTTTTCTTCTGGTCATATTTGTTTCCTTTTATCTCGGACTGATAGATTCTTCTTCAATTTGTGTTTCCTGCTGTTTGAATATGAATGCTTAATTCCTATCATTTTATGTGTATTCACTAGCATAATTTCTGTGCATAAGCCGTGGATTAGCCATATCTATTAGAGTCTGTAGTTGTAAAAGCTATTCTTTATTTTTTATTCAACTCTATGCATTTAATTTATGTCTGATTTGTCATGGTTAAAATATATCATTTTGCAAGGTTGTTGGTTTAATATTTGCTTAAGTGGCTTTACGAGTGACTGTTAAGTGGAGTGCAGTTCTTCATGTTGTGTATACAGTGTATAAATGGCTTGTTGGTCTGAGTCGTTTCAGCCCTTGTTATTCCTTATTTATATTATAGTTCGTGGTAATATTGAGTGAGCTGCTGTTTCTTAATTGCTATATTTTAAGCATATGTTTGGTAAAAAATACTCTTTTATTATGGTTAACAGGTGTTGAGGTGAAAAGTGGAGAGCCTCTTAAGGTTTCCCCCGGTGATGGGATGGTCTTGCATCTTTCTCAGGTCCTAAACAATTCATATGAACTAATGTTTCTTTTTCCTTTTACGATACTTTTTCTGTATTATAATTCCCTGTTTTCGACAGGCTTGTATTGGTGAACTTAAAAAGGAGAAAGGAAATGAAGCTGTCTACTTGTTTGTGAATGTTGATGGAACTAAGCTTGTTCTTGGAACACTCTTTGCTGATAAGTTGCCTCAACAACAGTTTGACTTAGTGTTTGACAAAGATTTCGAGCTATCGCACAACTTTAAAAGTGCAAGTGTCTATTTCTATGGATACAGGGCCAGCAACCCATTTGAAGAATATCCTTTACACACATTTTCCAGTTTTGGATGTATCTCTTGTTCTTGATTGCTGTATTATATAGATTCTCATTTGAAGTTGTATTCCTTAACTGTGTGTTTTTGTTGATTCGCACGGGGCCAGAGGGAGAATCTGGTAACCATTGTTCAATGATCATCTTCCTTCATTTTATAATTCCATGTTACCTTATTTGCTGCATATTTTCTTTTCAACTTCATAAAATACTTATATACATTTCCAGATGAATTTGACTCTGAGGAAGAAGAGGAAGAAGAGGAAGAACCACTTCCTCTTGCTAATAATGGTACCACTTTTGTAGCTCTTGCTGCTGGCTTGATTAGAATGCTTTAACATGCTCATAAAATTGTAAAATGGTGTCTTATTTGTAGGGAAACCTGAGTCAAAGCCTAAGGAAGGAAAATCTGTGGAGGTTGCTAAAGCTAATGCTGACAAAGGGAAGGAGTCTGATGGTGGTAGGCAAAAGGTGAAGATTGTGGAGCCAAAGAAAGATGTGGATGCTAGTGAAGAGGATGATGAAAGCAGTGATGAAGACATGATGTCTGAGGACGATGATGAAGATGACTCTCAGGTATATTTAACCCATTTTCGGGAATGTTAGCCAGGTGAAATTGACCATCAATAAACAATTACGATAAAAGTGGTCCGTCAATTGAACTTACCTTGCTGTGATAGGTGTACTGCCTTGTCTTTCCCATCAAGCAATGAAATTGATTTAGCTTAGATAGGACTTTGACTGCCTTACCATCTTTCCTAAACTTCATGGTTTATGTGATAGTTTTAAGTTCACAAATTGTTTCTATTTAGATCGAACTTTAAGTTAGTCATCTTTTTCTTGTGGTGTTGCTGATCCATTGAAAACATTCAAACTGGGTATTCTCTCTGTAGTTAGGACATCATTGATGCATCTGCTGCGAAAATTTTAGGTTCAACTTTGTTGAAATTATGTGTGAGTTAGTGAATTATATTCGCGCATAAATATATAATGAAAGTTACATGAAACTCATATTTTGCACAGAGTGAATGTTTTGTGCTTAAATGTGATGTTCATGGATTAAGAGTGTGATTGTCTGACATGAATTTTGAAATTGAAAAGTTAGGTCTTTAAGTACGTGTGGGTTGTAGTATTATTAATATATGACTAATTTGCTAAATCTTAATAACTGTAGGATGAAGATGATTCTGATGAATCTGGTGAGAGTGATGAAGAGACACCAAAGAAGGTAATATGCACCTCAATTAATTGTCTCATAGGTTCTTTATTATCATTATTATTATTAGTAACATATATGTATAAACCTAACTTAGTACGCTTTCCCCTGAAGGCTGAGCCAAGCAAGAAGCGACCATCAGAATCTGCTACAAAAACGCCCGTGCAAAGCAAGAAGGCAAAAGCAACTCCGCAGAAAACTGGTAATTCTCGTTTAAATTTATTATAACTAGTCTAGCTTCATGTTTATTGGTCTCCATTGTTTAGAATATTTGTGAAGCATTTTTATTGTCACTGCAGATGGCAAAAAGGCTGGTGGTCATGTTGCCACACCTCACCCAGCAAAACAGGCTGGGAAAACACCTGCGAACAAGCCAAATCAGCAAACAACAAAATCCGGGGGATCACATTCCTGCAAGAGCTGCAACAGGTACACCCTTTTGATTATTTTTCATGATTAAATACAATTACTGAGCCCAATTCTGAACACATATTTAGTATGTATGTTTCTGATGTACATGTTATGATAGAGATTAGGAAAGTAAATCGTGAGAAGGAAAGCAAGAATGGAATAAAATAAGTAACGCACAAATCACAAATCAAGGGGTTGACTGGAATCATGGGATCCTACTTGGCATGGAAGGCTATCAAATCGTTACAATATTTATTCTTTATTAACTATTACCTTAAATAAATAATATGCTTATAAAAGGGTTGTTGAGGAAGTGATGATGGGGCATTGAGAGAGATAATATTGTTTGTCGGCTTTTTAGCTTGGGCGGGATTATTTCCCAAGGAGAACTCCGTGTTCTTGGAGAAACCTTGTGTTCTTTTTTCTTTGTTTCAATTAATAATATTTAGTTTCTTTTACATTGGCCCTTTACTCTTATCATGTTATATGTAAATTCTAAAAGATAACTGGTAGTTTTTGTCTGCAAAGTTAAACCCTTGGTGTACGCTATTGCGAGAATCCTACAAGTTATGATAGAATGGAACTGAAATAAAAGCTGCTGTTGGTTTTACTTGCAGGACATTTACATCTGAGCAAGGTCTTGATTCCCACACAAAAGCTAAGCATGCTGGTGGAAAGTAAATTGAAACTCCTCTCCCTAATGCATTTCTTGTGGGAGGCTGTGGTTTTGGTTTTGGTTTTGGAAGAGTGCTCGTATGTGTAAACCTTGGAAGTTAGATTATGAAGTCAAGTATTTTGGTTTGACACAAAAATTGTAGGCGCATGATTCCTATTGGATGTTGAGTTCTGGATTATTATATTAAATTTATGGTTTTCTATCATTAAATCTCATGTCTGCATTTGTTTCATTTATATTATTACTTATTACATGCTAGTTTAAAAATATATGAAAATTGTTCCAATTCAAATTTCATATATTTTTTAAAAATTATTTTATTAAAAGTGTTGAGTTTTTTTTTTTCATTCAAACTTCTAATACTTTTTAGAAAACTTACATTATCATTTATTTCTAATTCATATGTAATGGATTTATGGATAGCTATTTTAATTGATATAAATTTTATAATTTTTAATGAGTGTTAAATATTAATAGATGATTTAACTTTGAAATTAAATAAATAATATTTATTTATCTTATATATGCTATATGAATATTAAATCGAAGTTCGTCAAAAGATGATTAATTTGATATAGTATATATGAAAAAGTGATAAGAAATATAAACATTATTATTAACCTTTAAATATATTTATAATTTAAGTTCGTCAAATATTTTATAATTTTAAAAATTCTAATAGGTATGGTCTGTATGGATAGAATTTAGATCCACATGATTATCAGAAATTGGCACATAGATTATGAAACACTTCAACATGTAGCACCAGAATTCAAATAAGATTACGAACCACCAAAAGTCAACATGTAGGATTGAGACATTGCATTTATATATAGTATAGGTGGGGATTATCTTTATTTTGGTAAGTTGTTACTATCGCATAACCGATGGATAATTTGTCGAGGTGCCTGGAGTGAGATTAAATATGCTGATATTAGATATGTTTTCATTAGAGCTGAACATGAGACGTAGAGAGTTCTGAACCATTTCAAAAATTGAAAAGAATTCACTCTGAACTAAAAAATAACCGTTTGGACTGTTTGACCTTCTTAGAACCAAATGGTCTGAACCATTTCATAGCGTACCAAACTGAAGAAACAAATTATAACAATAAATGTGACTTGTTTATATATTTTATGTCAACTTTAATCCTATATAATTTTAACATTTTTAAAATACTTAACAACATATAGTAATAACTATTAAACTTCCCTTAAATTTTATGCTTAATAATACTTGATATACAACTAAAATAGTATATTATATTTGTTGCTACTTCTCTTAATCTTATTTCATCTTGTAATTAAAATGGTATGAAAAGTTAAAGAAACACTTAAAAATTATATTATATTTTATTTTGATTTCAAATTTCCATTATTAGTTACACAAATTTAGTTTTAACTAAAATTTTTAGTTACGTCTATATTTGCTAAAGTTGATTTCGAAAAAAATCTTTAATATGGTTAAGTAGTGATGAATATTGATTTTTTTTTTTTTATTAAAAAAGCATATCAAAATTTAAATATATCTAGACAGTCATTCAAAAAAATTTGAAAAATAATTAAAAATCTCCAAAGCTCCGAGCCGATCGAACCAAACTGAACCATCCTGGTAGCCCCGATCATCGAACCGCACTATACCAAAAAACAAAAATCTCCAAACCGAACCGAACCAAACCAATTATGGTTCCGGAGATTTCTTAATCGACAAACCCTACCAACCCATGTTTACCCTTAATTTTCATTAGTGAATTTTTTGTGGCAGGTTAAATTAATGCAAAATCTATGTGGTATAAAATAGCTATAAATATGAGAGCGAATGAAAAGGTTAATTTTATAGCTGAATAGTAAAATGGTAATTTTTTTTTTTAAAAAAAAAAGAAAATTGTTTGAAAAAAGTAAGTTGGAAAAAAAATAAATAGTAACCCTTGGGTGTCTTATCAATGGGCAAATTAATATTTGTTTATTGTTTTGGCTAATTTAACACATACCAGAAAAAACATGTTCACATACGATAAACCAGAAACATACCGTCAATCAAATAACTGAAAATGTACCACAGGTTTCTCTAGTCATATTCACATAAACATACATTTCTTATAATAGATAGAGAACAAACTATTCCTAAACTATAAATAAATTAACATGGATGAAGCTTATGATCAAGTAAAACCTCCATCTACAACGTGGCTTGGTGCTATTATTTATGAATAAAGTTTATGTTGATCGTTGTGAGCGTAATTTTCTCTATTGTTTCAATACTATGGAAGACTGAGTGTTATTAAATCTCCAACCATTATCTCTACTCTAGTAAGAATTTTACTTTACTCTAGAGTAGAGTGAAATAAAAATCAAGTTTCGTCTCCAGTCCTTATCTCTACATTTTACTCTACATCAAATATATTATTTTTTTATTTATATTTATTTCAAATAAATTGGTATATATATATATATATATTTAATTTTATATAAAAAGTTTATTACCTAAATAATAAAAATATATTATATGCTTTTAAATTTAATAAAATCTACTTGTTTGAATGTGTTAAATTTTTATTCATATGGTACCATTTAATATTAAAAAATTAGAAAACATCAATAAATAAAAGACACAAAATTATTTAGCATAAAAAATACATTACACAAAGTTATTTAACATAAAAAATATATTATACAAAAATTTATCATTAATATTACATTAAAATATATAAAAAAAGAAAAAAAAAATAAAAGTGTAGCGCTCCTACAATGTTGCGCCAGATGTGGCGCAACACTGTTCAATCCTCTACTTCAACGCGAGATTGTAGCACAGGGTTGGAGAGATTTTGATCACTACTCCAACGATAAAACACAGATATAGCACAACACTGGGATACTCTTAGACTTGTTAAAATGGACTTAGACTCGTGGGTTTCCCTACTCACCTAAAGGATGGGACTGAATGATACTTTAAGCGGACCTCAACGAGGTCCCAACCCATTTTAATGTCTAAATATTGTGCTTAGGGGAATCTTTATCAAAAACTTTATTCGACAATCACTCATAGAGCATCTTCAGTGCAATGGTGTTTTTTTAAAAATCAATTGCCGCACAAATAAAATGGATTTTCTTTCCAAGAAAGATTTTCAAATAATTAAAACTATTATTTATACGTGGGGATATAATGTTGTAAAAAATAAAATTAACACCGTCTATGGAATTTCAATCTTGGACATCAATTGGAAATGGATGTAAATTATAATATAGTTCATTTTCATTTATCTTATTGTATACATATTTTTATAACAAACTTAAATATTTAAATTAAATAAAATAAATAAACTAAGTATTTAAAATATGGCTAAAAATATGAGGATAATATTTATTAGAAAAATGAATCATTATGTGGCCTAGTACAAAATAGGTTAATTGAGCTTATTATTATAGAAGGTTTGTGTTGTAGAAGGAAGATTGAAGTTTTAAATAATGTAATTAGAAAGTGAAAAAGAAAGATTATAGGGATATCTGAACAAATGTTTGGTATTTGCCTTTATTTTATTTGAATAAGACTTAATTTCTATAAATTTCCTGTTATTATTCGGTTGAATACTTTACAAACAAGAAACTGGATAAATTTGTATGTCCTATTCATACAAACGTACTTTGTTTGTTTGNGAAATACAGGCAGACAAATATGCCAAAACCCCATCATATTTTCTGTTCGTCAAAAGTCAAATAGTTACTTGTTCTATACATATGTATATTTTTTTAGCAATTTTCCCCAAACCCATTAAAACATATTTTGACGAAACCTTTTCATGTTCGGTAGTGATCATTTCACGACAGCTTCCCAAATCATGAAACGACTATATCCCATCGAGAAATGGCTGAAAATTATTATTTTCTTCATAGTATCTAAAAAGGAAAACACGTTAATAAAATAGCTAGAAATTTTCAGGGACTTATGTTATCTTATAATCATGCACATGGATCCTAACACGTGCGTATAGATACTAGATATGCCATTCTCCGAAAATTATATAAACGCTGCACATTCTAAGTACAGTACAAGCTTGAAATCAAAGCCGAACTACAAGGCTCGTTTGAGCAGTCAACAGTAGGATGAAATTTTCTGAACTGTGGGATTCAATCATATAGAGATAATAATCTTCACTCTTGGGTCACACAATTAAATAGGCAAATTCGAAACAGAATTATACACCAAAGCATTTGAATTATTAAACGCTCATGGTGCAATAAGATTGAATAGCTATTGGTCCTTCATATAATTTCCAGCATCGTTCACTGAAAGAATCACAAATGGCTGCAACCTACGGTTTTATTCAAAACCTAGGCTACTGGTGTAACATATGTTCTTGTTTAGTAAACATCGTTTTGGGGCTACATTAGAGGTTTGATGTAAATCAAAGGTTTGACATTGAGGACCTCTAGTTTAATTGTTTGGTAAGTAGCAATTTGAAATAACTTTTTGGATCCAAAAAGTAATATATAAGAAAAAGCTCAATATAGGAGCTTTTGAAATAGAGGATTGTAAAATCTATATATATATAATAAGAATTAACATTTACCATAAATAGTAGTAAGGAAAAGTCAACCACATTTATTATATACTATTTTCAGCAACTTTTACATTTTACATTTTAATTTTAATTCATTATCAAAAAAATTGATGGTTCCTAAATTAATGGGTTTTAAATGCACGTATCATGTTTCAAAAATTATAAGTCATTTAAAATCGGAGGGTTCATAAATTAATGGTTACAAACTTTTCAAAGTTGTAATCTTTATAGCATCTTTTCTTTTTGACTTTTAATAATAAAATTATTTTAAACATATATATTCAAATCCAAAAATTCAATCATGTTAAATATATATATATATTGAACGCTAAAAATATTTTTTAAATTGCATACCCAATCAATTAATCGTAATTTTTTTAAATTACTATGTTTATTTTTTATTAATATGTATAAAATAAAAATAAATAGTTCATCTTTGGATATATAATTTATAATCTTAATATACTATCATTTGGTGTAGACATATGAATCATAAAATATTTTTATTTCATAAAATTAAATATTATATTTAAAGAAAATAAGGAAATTACTTTGGATCAATCGGGTGATTGAATTAGGGTACTGCCCATTTTGATTGAATTACTTTTAGGTGATATTTAAAATAGTCAAAAAACTTGACATAACTTGGTTGGTCCGAGGTAATTAAGTTATGTATCAGTTTGACCAGACCAAATTGATTATTGAACCTAAATATAAATTTTAATATTGAAAATACTTTATTACGTGAATGTGATGTAGTCCAAACTTCAAATAATCATATTAACAATACTTTTATGACAACATGATTAATGATTTATGAATATTTATATATCATTTTATTATTATTTATGTGAACAAAATATTTATTTCATTATCATTTTTATTAATGTACGGTAAATATAAGGTTTTCAGAATCGCACCGTCTTGTGGTTGTTCAGATTTTAATACATAATACTTTAATATATATATATATATATATATATAGTACTTTTTGTAATAAATTTAAATAGAAAGTGTTACTTAAATATCTAAACAATTTATAAATTCAAATGTTTAAACTAATTGATAAACAATTTATAGATCTCTATTTTATTTAATATGTAATTTTATTTAAAATAATTTTTCATGTAACAAAATTTGTTTAGAAAATCGTATCGATCTTACCAGTCCAACATATTGGTGTTGGCGGATTCGATAGCAAATATTTTATTCAAGCGCACTAAATCGGTTATAAACCGGTTCTCGGTCCATCCGGTCGGACTGTGTCCAACCCGGTTTAATTTATAAATAATGGGTAAATCATGATTAATGTTATTTATTTATTTAATTTATAATACAATCAAAATATTATTTTCCCGTGCATCGCACGGGCCACGTACTAGTTAGGTGTTATTACAAATCAAACAACTAATTATTTCCAAAACACTTGGCATAATTAACTATTACAATCAACTGGACAAAGTTGCTATGCTAATTCAATTAGCTATCTGCTATGAGCTATCAGCTAATTCAATTCAATTAGTTATCCGTTAAATGTCAAATAAGACCAACATGTGATGGACAAAGGCATACCTCGTATTGTGCACTTAAGTCCAAATTATTTTATGTTGGTTGATAAATATGTTTGATAAAGTTGAGGCTAGGAGAAAACATGCAAATAGTCCACCGCATATCAATTTAGGTAATTTGCCGAACTTTAATGTATTTCACAAAAAAAGAACAAGCATTCCATAGATACGCATTCCTTGAACATACTACGAACACATTTATAAATGTCAGCAATTAGATTGAACTTCTTTCAACACAATGAAAATAAAACAAAGTCTAAAATCACGCAACTTGGGAATTGGAAAAGGTGCCGAGAAACAGATTACTATAGATGTGGCTGTAAGCCATTGCTGTAAAAGGGTCACTTTCATGTCGGAAGAAAACCAGAAGCATCATTCATACCTGAGGCTCCAATTGTATAAATTGCTGCAATCTTTTTCTGCAGAAGACAGTGTGCTAACCTGTATACAAATATCAATATAAGCCACTATAAAGGGCATGCCATGGCAGGTGTACCTGAACCTGCAAAACTTAAAGAGGGTGTATTAAAGGATTCAAAACAATAAAAAAACGAAAGAAAGAAAGAAAGAAATGATGTAATAATGATTTCAGTTCACACTAAGTGGTAGGGTTCAGGGAAAGAGGAGGGCTTACCTGGTTACAATTTTTATATGCCATGAATTGGTTTCTGATGCAAGAGAATATGACAATCAAATGGCCTAACTTTTCGATTTGTGTACGTGTGCAAGTGCAAAAACAGCTCACTGAATATCACAACCCAATGGGTCTTAATGAAATGAAAATAGGAGATACTTTTGAAGAAATACCACAAAACGCGAGAGCATTTAAGGAACCCATCATGCCNCATCTGTTTTTCCATATTTAACAAAATCTTTCGAGTATATTAAGGTTTTCTGTTAGAAAATATTTTGAGTTAAGACACCTGCGTCATATTTGCTATCCCTCCTAAAACATGACCTATTTATTTGGAGGAGCGGAAGGGAAGAAAATGATCAAATCTTCCCACCTGCACAGTGGAAAATGGGCAGTAAGCCTTTTTTTCTCACAGAAGATGGCTAACGAATAACCAAAAAAAAAAAAACAAGATGAAGAAAATAACCGGATCAAGAAACTGCTACAAACCATGAAATCCTTACGCGCTTCAAACGTCATAACTTTCATTCCCATTCTCGGACAAATCTCGCTTAGTATCCTCCTTGGAGTTGCCATCATCCTTTTTTCCATTATGACGATCTCTGTCCCGTTCTCCCTCCTCCCTTTCCCTGTTCCACTGCTCAATTTTCGCCCTTCTCTCAACACTACTTTCTCTGATGGAGCTCCGATTTCTCCTTCCGGATGGACTTCGGCTACGGACCTTTCTACCCCTGTCATGGTGACCATGCTCACTCCTCCTACTCAAACCATGTCTGTCTTCATATTTACGATGACGTGGACTACGACTTCTGCTTCTACTGCGGTCATGCCTGCTTCTCCTTTTCCGGAATAGTTGCTGTCTCAGCTCTCTTGAGAACCAAAAGTTAAAATGAATTTTAGTCACAAATGATAGGTTGCGATCTTTCCTTTACTTTCTTATTTTAAGTAAACAAATAAAAACTCATTAATACCAAAACAGACCTGCCTATCTTTTTAAGATGCATGAAGTTACAGTATCCTCCCCGGTTGCAAACGTTTTCTTCGTATTGCCTACACGTGGCCTCACGGAAGTCCGTCACGGGAGAGAAGTCAGCAATTATGGGCCGGCCTGAATTGTTCAGAGAAGTGATTCATAAGTCATAAAAATAGTAGGGACACAATTCTTAGTTAATTCAGACGAGAAATGGATGATGGTTTGGAAATTCTCCATATGCGCTATTTATTTCAATAGGTCTTGATGATCATAATGATGTGTTACTACTACCTTGATTATGTTTTCAGAGCAGACATCAGACATGTCAAGATTGCAAGAAGAAAATTAAAGTTCTGATTCGCACACACAACTACTAGCTAATCTTTGATAAAAATATGTTGGAAAGTCTATCATTATTCTATCTATAATCACGCAGAAGATAAGTGAGTAGGTCTTGAATATTGATGTAGTAATGTCTACCACCCAGAAATTATGTCATAGCTAAGTACCTATTCATAGACAGCAAATAAATTGGAAAAAGCAGATGAACAAACTCTGAACCCATAAGATAAGACTCGGATCAGTTACTAGTTGCTACCCAAATGCACTAACTTATGTCCAAACAACTCAATCAGAATAACTTAAAAGGAGAAGCACGAACCGTTGTAAGGCCTCCCCATGAGATTTTGAAGAGCAATTTGAGCTTGATCTTCCTCCCTAAATTGGATGTAGACATTACCCACCATGTGGTCTGCCAGATTATCACAGATGTTGAGGCTTTGAATATCACCATACTTGCTTAGCTCCCGAAACAAATCTTCGTAGAAATCCTATCAAAGGAAAAGACAACTTCTTTCAGAAAACAACACACCTCAATTCTTTCAACTGTAATGCTCCCCAAATAAATAACAAGCTCACATGAAATTATTATCATTACACAGTGCCAATCCCCAGAAAATCTAGGGACAAATTACTCTTTCTCTTTTTTTTTTTCTTTTTTTTTTCGGCTGTGATTGAAGCTAAATGAACCATGGAAAACAAAAAATTCCAGTCTTCGGCCCAAATAGCACAGAACATCCAAAAGGAAAAAAAGGAACACAAATGAAACGGGATTGTAAAAAGCACATCTAGCAAGCTTATATCATATGCACGAATCTAACAACACAAGTAAAATTGAATGGGCCGCGAGTAAACCTCAAAATGAGATTGGATCTTTTTAGGATCGAGGGGTTGGCCTTGAGGGTCAACGCCAGGGGTGACCATGTCTAGGCGCTGGTACATGTTGGAGAGCAGGAGCGTGGGGCTGATGCTGGGCTTCGTGTGGAGGCGCGAGCACCGGTCGCCGTGCCTGCACGCGCCGATCTTGAAATAGAACGGGCAGTTGACCCTGTCCTTCTCCGTCCCGAATATCGACGCCAAGTGCTCCGCCATTTTCTTTTCCGACCAAAATTAGCACAATCTTACCGTCGGAGGTCGGAGGAAAAAGCTCGACCCGCTGGGGTTTACTGAAATTCGTTTTGATTAGGGCTTGATGAGAAAATTTTAATTTATAGTAAGAGACAAAAGAGGTGTGTTAAATTAGGATTTATAAGGAATTCGTAAGATTTTAGAAATCTTAGTTTATTCAATTTAGATTTGTTAACACTTTTAAAAATTTAGGTATTCAATTGGATTATAAAAAATTTTAAAAAATGGTATTTAACTTATTTGAGATTATAAAATTTATTAAGAGAGATTTGATGAAATTTCTAAACAAAAAAACTTTATACTAAAATACCACTACAAATCCTTTCAGACTTAAGAATTCATATAATTACTTAAAAATCTAAAAATTTTAATAAGTCTCAAACTTTAAAAAGNTATTATTTTTGTTTTTCTTTAAGATTGTCTTCAAAGCGGTGTAAACCTTAAAAAAAAAAAATCTAAAACTTGATTGATCATCTAACAAGGAAAATCGGAGAATTGGTTAAAAGGTTAGGCGTAAGCAATCAAAATCTTTACTCTTATCGGAGTTGGATTTTATATTAAGCCCTCAGGTTTTTTTTTTGGATCAACACATACCTCAGACCTACATGAACGTATTTTGATACCATTTCAATGCACGGTTTATTCTTTATACTTTGATGCGACGCTTCTAAAAACAAGGCAAGACATGTTCCAAACAAAAATCTACCAATTTACTTAGCAATTTAAGATGAAAAGCAGATTCATAAAGATGAAAAGCAGTACCCCAGAGCTCTAGGGGAAGGAACAAAAAAGTAGAGTTCATACATTGCTCAAGCTGTCAAAATGCACTACATGTCATAGACAAAACTCTTGCGATTATTCAAAATGACCCATGATGCTTAAGATGTTATTAAGCGCCTTAGAGAGGTTCCATTGTGCAGTCTCTAACAGCAGCAGCAGCTGGGTTTGTTCAGTAGGGCTCAACGGGTGTACGGAAGCTAGCTCCAGCATATACTGCCTCTGCCCCAAGTTCCTCCTCAATCCTCAACAACTGCACCCAATTATGCACATCACAGATGATTAATATTACTACTCACCGACAATTTTATTTCTAGCAACTATAAAAGTATTGAGGTTGGGTAAATCAACCTTGTAATTTTTCTCAAGTTACAAAAACTCATTTAATAGTTTTTGAAGTTTACCGAGAAATAAAAAGGATAAACTACAGTAAACCCAGGTCACACAAGAAAAACACATTTCAAGATTGATTCTTTCTTCATAACAAATGAGTAAGCTCTATAAATATTTCTACAAAGGTAAGGTTGCCTTTTAACATGTTTTTTTTAATGAAGATAGTTACCAGATTCTTTTCCATATCAAATAAATGGCTAGATAATTACCTGGTTGTATTTTGCAAGACGCTCGGATCTGCAAGGAGCTCCAGTCTTAATTTGGCCCTGAAAATTCAGCAAACAAATGGATATCAGCTTTGATGAAAGTGTGAAAATAGATGGAGATGGTGAAATAGAAGATTTTTGTAAAAATATATCTTTACCGTAGCTAATCCAACAGAGAGGTCAGCAATGAAAGTATCTTCAGTCTCTCCACTGCATACACAAGACAATTAATATTATCCATCAACAGAAACTTTATTGACCGGTAAACCAAGGTCCTAAATATGTTTTTTTTAAAAAAAAAAAAAAACCTGCGGTGACTGGCCATCACACCCCAACCAGCACGCTTGGACATTCTTACAGCCTCAATACTCTCAGTCACGGACCCAATTTGGTTAACCTGGCAGGCATACAAGACTTGCTATTAGTTATCACTACATTATGGATCCTTAAAGCTACGTATAGCTTTTCCCCAGCTTAAAATGGGTTCAAACAATGTAAAGGTTTCTAATAACAGGAAAAACTCTATTACTTTCTAAATTACAAAATAACCTTCATATACAAATTTTGCACACTCAATAACAATCAAGACAATTTGAAGAGGTTTGTTGTGTGCATAAAGGGGCCGCATTTAAGCGCATTTGTAAATATGAACAATGACTGTAGGCTGAAAAACAGTTACCCAACACTGTATATGGTACCTTAAGAAGAAGAGCATTGCAGGTCTTTTCGTTGATTGCCTTCTCAACCCTCTGCAAGCACATGAATGAACAGGAATATATGTAAAAAGGTAAAAAATAATCTGCAAATTACAAATTCGAATTCATAAAAGCTCCAATCACCTTGGGATTAGTGACAAGGAGATCATCCCCCACAATCTGTACTTGTGCCCCGATTTCTGCAGTGAGCTTCGCATAGTGCTCCCAGTCATCCTGGTCAAAAGGGTCCTCAATGGAGACAATAGGGTATTCGGACACAAACGACTTGTAGAGATCCTTGAGTTTGTCACCAGAGATCTTCTGCGAGCCATCATTGTTCTGCCAAAACAACATAAGAAAATATAAATACTAGCAATTATTTGTATTGCACCAGAGACAAAACAAAATCATTATTTCAACCAATAATAACTTGCCTCTTCCTTGAAATTCAAATCATAAGTCTTGTCCGATCCATAAAACTCAGAGGCAGCAACATCCATCCCGATAACAACCTAATGCAGTAATATCAGTCACGTTATCAACAACATTCATATATGATAAGAGCCTATTACTTAAATACATAAGATGTAACAAGTGGGCCCAAATATAAAAATTCACCTTTCCAGTATAACCTGCTTTAGCAATTGCTGTCTTGAGCAATTCAAGACCTTCCTTGTTCTCCTGAAGAAACAATCATCAAGTTGAGAAACGGATATTTAACTATTGAAGAAATAAGAATTAGGTTCAATTCATATTACAAGAAATTACGTTACCTGAATGTTGGGAGCAAACCCACCCTCATCTCCAACATTGGTAGCATCCTGACCATATTTCTTCTTAATAACAGCCTGAAATCATAGTACATTAGACATTTTAGTAGCCATGAATTTTTAAGTTCTCAGTCATGCATTAATTTTTTTAAGAGATAAAAGGAACATGAAATTAAATGAGAGAGCTTGCCTTAAGATGGTGGTACACTTCCACACCCATTTTCATGGCCTCCTTGAAAGAAGAAGCCCCAACAGGGAGAATCATGAACTCCTGTAAACAAAGGAACTTTTGTGTCAATAAATACGTCTGTAAGAAAGTCAAATCACACACAACCAAGACAAAAGAGACATGCCTGCATCGCAAGTTTGTTTCCAGCATGTGAACCGCCATTGATGACATTGAAAGCAGGGACAGGGAGCACAAGCTTCTTGTTGCCAGCTAGGTTAGCAATGTGCTGAAAGTGGAAAGTACAATGATGTAAATAATGATGGTACTACAGCAATAAATTATAATTACTTTTTTATTAACAAAAAATTCATGAGTTAATATCGGCACCATCCACAAATGCAATAGTTTCCACCCGATAAAAGCATCCAACAAAATAGTGTACCATTGCAAAAATGAATAAATTCAGATGAAACAATGATAACAGTAACGAAAAGAAAGTAACATAAGTATACCTTGTACAAAGGAATATTGAGTATAGCAGCTCCAGCTTTGCACACCGCAAGGGACACAGCAAGAATAGCATTTGCACCAAGCTTTTAACATCCAAAATTTCACATTCAGATAATTATTATTCCTATATATTACTCCTAGGAACTAGGACTGATGAAACTCACACAGACAAATCATATTTATACACATAGATACCTTCTGCTTGCACCAACCCCACTCATTCTGAGTGCCATCAAGTTGTTGTACCATGAAATTGTCAATAGCAATTTGATCCGTCGGGTCCTGTAAAAAAACCATGTGTATCTTACTGGGGTTTGCCAATTAAAGAAAAAACTTAAATGGACAATTTGAGTTCAGTTGTCACCATTTTACTTCACCTAAAGGCATTGGTGTATTAACAATTTTCAATTTATTTTAAGAAATAACTGAACACTCGCATAAGTTGTCAAGAACATACCTTTCCAACGAGGGCAGGTCCAATAATAGTGTTGACATTGCTCACCGCCTACATGAACATACAAAGAATAATAAAACATCGGTGACCCATAATTGATTTGGGAAGAGCTAAGTAACAGACTATCCAAAACGAACACTAACCTTTGAGACACCTTTACCAAGGTAGTCGGATCCTCCATCTCGCAGTTCCAGGGCCTCATAAATTCCTAAAATAAAAGTATATATATTTCAATACATATATGTGCGTGTTTGTGATATCTCTGTGTAACACACAAGAGATACATAAGATGACTCCTCTATTTCCGGCATACAATATATCGACTCTTGTACATGGTCTAAAGAAGCAAAATTAGATTCAGTTGAACGACCAATCGAAATTTCACCACGATACTCATGCAAACACCCACAGACAGATAGCGGGATAATTATATTCACTATTCGATGATGAAATTGAATCGTACACAAACACCCACACACAGATAGTGGGAGAATATAAGCGAAGGGTGCATGATTAACAGAATCTTACCGGTGGATGCACCACTAGGAACAGCAGCTCTAGCACATATTCCGTTCGATGTGTGCACATCAACCTGCAATTATTTGCAACAGTCAAACAATACTACAGTGGAATATACAAGCAATTCGGGCAAACGAATATTAAACATTTCCACGACCACAAATATTTCTAGGAAACAAATTAGCATGTTATCGATAAACAAAAACCAACCTAATTTAAAACAGAAATTGTTTTATAAGAACAACAACAAATCTGATCGATACAGATAATATGGAAAATGGTAAAGGGCGAACCTCGACTGTGGGATTACCACGGCTATCGAAGATCTGGCGAGCATGGACGCTCTTGATAGTCGCCATTAATCAGAGTTTTAGATCTGGAGAGAGTGAAAGAGTGAGAAAGTGAGAGGCTTCGAAGGAGCTTAGAGTGAGAAAATTATGAGCGGAAACTAAGAACAGACTCGGTATTTGTAGAAGGGTTAAAGGCTAATTAGATCCGTTGATTTAGATGCGATTGAGGTTGTTTGGGCAACAAGAAATAGTTCGAATATTTTTTCTGTGTGCCTAAAGAAGATAAAACACTGCCTTTTTCATTTTCATTAGTTTAATGCAACAATCTTAGCAGATAGGTAAATTTTCAAAATTAAAGTAACAACAGTAAATTAACGTTGGGTAATGAGTTTTGTACGACAAGTTGGATTTTGTAGTTCCGAACTTAAGACATTAAAGATTAATGAACTCTATTTTGCTGTACCAAAAAAAAAAAAAATGAACTCTATTTTGATGTAGAACCAATTGAGGATGGATAATTTGTTCTTCACTTAAAATGTGATATGAAATACAAACTTGATAAATCGACTGACCAAGTCTGAGCGATCAAATGGTCGAATAAGGCCATAGGTAGGTTGAACATCAGCACAGGAAGGAGTCTTCAGGTCGAGGAAGGCGTTGTAGGTTTAAAGAGACACCGACAGGTCGGGTTAGGGCCTTCGGATGGCTGATAAAAATTCGACCTGTAGGTATAACTGGTCATGTGATCGACCAAAGAGACAAGGCACATGAACTCGACGTACCCAACATTCACCTCATCATGATTCAAGTTAGTCGCATGATTAGGCGGTCTAACAAGATAGACTAATGGATAAAAAGGAATATTATCAGGATAAAGACCACACGTGGATAGGGCTACGTGGCCTAACAGAATAGGGCAATTCGGGTAGTACGGACAGACTGTTTGGGTCTTGTGCAATAAGGTAATACTTCCCTATAAAAAGGAGTGAGATATGTCCTCTAGAACATTACATACTCTCTACATACTTACATACAGAACATCATCTTCTTCACCGTGCTAACTTAAGCACATGAGGCTCTACACCGAAAAACCCCTATGGTGTGGAGTTTTTGCAAGTCTCGAAAGACGATCTACGGGCTCGGAGTTTAGATCGGGCTTAAACCAAGCCGGTCGAGGGTATTTTTGTACCATTTGACATCGTCTGTGGGTAAGCAAGATTCACAGGAAATACCTAGAAAAAACGTTTGAAGATGCGTGCCGAGAACGCGTCATTCGGAGCAGGCCCACCACCAAGCGTCTCCGGACCTCTTCAGACCCAGGTGATACCGATGCCTCATCCTATGGGCTTAGGGAGCTCATCGGCGGTCCCAGTTGCAGCTGCAGAGCCGAGCAACACGAGCGGTGGCCCAGGTGATGGGGCCACTTTGGATGGAGACCGAGGTAGGACAGATGATATCAGACGTCGTTGGAGTTGGAGCAGCTCAGTAGGTCACTCTACAGACGTCCCAGGCATTCACCGCGCCTACTACGGTGGTGGGAACGAACAAGCAAGACACGGAGATGGACGAGTCGAGGAGCCGGGACACTGGTGCACATAGAGATCAAGCGGTGGAAAAAATGGCGAAGCAGATCAGTCAACTACATGCCAAGGCCGATGGGAAGGCAGTGGGTCGAGCTCGAGGACATTTCTTTTCTCAGGAGATCCTCGATGTTGCGGTACCAACAAACTTCAGGGAGGTTAGTTTGACATATGGCGAGTCGTCAGATCCGTCAAGACATGTGAGGTAATTTGAAAACATGGTTGTGTTGCATGAGTATTCGGATACTGTGTGTTGTCGGGTTTTCTTAGCCACTCTAAGGGGAGGAGCTCAAGATTGGTACCATCAACTTCCCCCATGGTTGGTGAAGGACTTTGAGGATTTTTGAGCTTATTTTTAAACCAGTACGCCAACTCAATTGCTCAGGAGAAGACTCTCTTTTGAAGGAAAAAAAACTAATAAAGAATATGGATGGAGAAAGTTAACCGAATTTGAAAAACTTGAGCATGTTTGTTTATGGAAATTTTTGGTTTTGTTTGGATTTTTTGTTTTGGTTGAGTTAATTTGAAAAATGTGGTATGGTTAGTTGTTAGTGGGTGTATTAAAATAATATTTAAAATAAAATAATTAAAATTGATTTGACGTAAAAGTAAGAAAAAAAGGATTTGAAGTGATAGTTAAAATATTGTGAGTGGATGAATAGTTAATTAAAGTTGATGTAGTGTGTATGAATGATTAATTAATATTATTTAATTATATTGATAATAGTGTGGTTGAGTTAAAGTTGAGTTAAAAAAATGATTGAATTAAAATGTTGAAATTTTTTTAAAATTTTTTATAAACAAACATGCTCGGCAGCCCCAATACAAGGTTCTCGAGAATATACGTGTACCATTAAGAAACCATTACATGATAAAAATAAAATATATTAAGAACAAAAATGCAGCCATTAGAATATGGGCGAGGAAAGTCAGAGAGTGGCGTCATGACTCATGCGGACTGACCGCCCGTGGTGTTGCATGTCACGGCCGATAATAATGGATGTATAGAAATGGCTAAAAGACGCAGAGACGAATATCACTTACACGAATATCATTAATACGAAATACAACTTTTTATCACAAAATTGTTCAACACTATACAATTTAGACCGCCAGGAGACAAATATCCATCAAAACATACGGATATCCATCAGAAAACAAAATTGAAGCTGCAATCTTTCATGATTACCACAAATAAACAAAATGAAAATTATTCATATTTTTCAAGAAACAAAAAAATCTTGGAACCACAAATAGAAAACCATTCATATACCAATAATTATGAAAAATATATATATAAAAAAACGTATACAAAAACCTATCAAAAAATAACAAAACCACAAGAAAAAAAAACATTCATATAAACCATAGAAATGGCAATATTCAGAACAGAATACACAAAATTGAACCACAAATAAACCCACAAATTGTTATACAATATTCATACACAAAATTAAACTACAAATAAACCCACATGGGTTTCTTATCCAAACCCCAAGAGTCGAACGCGGCAGACGGCGGCGCGGCTGAGGCGCGAGGCATCTGAATCTCAGACTTGTTTGTGTCTCGGGGGTGGAGATAGACTTCTAACAGTGGTTCTCTGATGGAGGTGCGATCGGTGACCAAATCCGTCGGAAAATTCTGATTGAAGGCCTCTGGGAAAGCGGCCAAGATCTGCCTTGTTCGCGGAGATGCGTTGCGGCAGATCGTGTTCGGCTTTGCTTAGTTGCTCGTTTAGGGTTTGAGGATCTTGGATTTTGGAAGAGAAATAATGAATAGAAATCAAAGATTGTCTCTGTGAATGAAAGAGGAAAGGAAAATTGAAGAGAAATGAATTACGGAGTGAAATAAGATGAGTTGTGCGTCTTCATTTGATGAAATGTGGAATAAAAAATCTGTAAGACGAGGTTAGGGGAATTAAAAACAATTAGTCGTTTTATGGGAAATAAAAACAAAAGGGATATAGTCTGAGGGGTAATAATGACAAATTGATGAGGCAAATTAACGTTTAAATATTAAAAATAAATAATACTAGTAAAAGCAAGCTATACTGTTCGGTAGGAGTGAGCATGGTGCGGTTCGATGCAAAACCACATCGAACCGCAAAAAACAAAAACCGAAATTTTTTATTTGTCCAAACTGAACCGCACCGAAACATGTAGAAAAACCGACCGAAACCGCATCGAAATTTTCGGTTCGGTGTGGTGCGGTTTCGGTTAACCGCAAATTTAAAAAATAAAAAAAAAACACACACAAAATAAAATGATGTTATATCATCATCATCATCTAATGTGCAACAGTACTAAACGAAAGCCCAAGATTTGAACTGAAAGTAAAAAACTAAGGCAAGAAATTAGATTTTAGTGTAATGTTATTAATTTTTAATTGTTATTGTTATTATTTATTACTTTACTTATTTATTGTTAATGTTAGTCATCCCAAACCAAAGGCCCAAAATGAGCATGTATACGTACAATACAATCATGTTAACATATTTCATATTTGTTAAAAAT